CCAAAATTCAATATATTTTTGCAGCCTTTTAAGAATCAGATTACATATACATGGCCTATAATGCACTAAAATAAAAATAAAACCAGCATAATTTATTGCATCTTAATGTAGCATTTATTCAAGTAATATATTTATTTCATCACACAGGTACAAGACTATATCGTTTTCCATGAAAGTTATTAGCAGATGCAGATTGATGTATTTCTAACACTGGATGAAGACAAGATATGAGGAAAATTCACAATTCAAGAAATTAAATTAGAAGTGTTACAGCAAAGATCTTTACTCCAAGGACATAACAACAAAGGCTAAAAGAAGTGGAAAGTTCATTTTGTGAATGTATGGCAGGCAGTATCTTAACCAATAGAACAGGAAATCTCAACTTGTTAATAAATAAAAACACTTGGTGAAAAGAGGTAATTATGAATTGGGTGGCTTTTGTTTGAACTCTATCAAGTATTTAATATTTCTACCTAACCCACAAAGCTAAACAATGTTACTATGTTTTATTAAAAACAAAGGAGGTGGAGTGTGCATGCTTGACTTCTTGCTCTTTGTATGTTTGAGTATCTGCTGCTTACATGAGAAAAACAAGACTTGCTTGACAGGAAGAAAGCATATATCTGTTTTTAAAGAAATCTTAGAATAACAGAAGGTGTCTCTTCTGGTAAATACATGCTGTGCAGGCATAAATGACCAGTCAGTGAAACCGAGATAATACAATACAATTCTGCTTCTGTGGAAAAATCCCGAAAGCTATTCCTAGTAGTTGAAGCCAGCACCAATGCAAGAACCTCTATGGTGACCAAAGTCACATATTTATCCCTGAATTATGTATAAAGTTCAACAAAAAGAAAACAAATATGTCAGTGGAAGAGAAGAAATGTGACTAAGTGATGAGAAGCCAAACTCACCAGTAAAGTACAAGTGCAAGCTGTTAAAAATTATGGTAAAATAAATGAGTCATAGTTCTCTTCTAGAAAGAGAGAAAATGACCAGACGACCTCATTTATGAGATATTATGCAAATTGCTTACTTTATTTTTCCATAGCATGTTTTTTCTTGAGTTGCAAACAACTCTAAATACTGTTTACCCTGTATTTGCCATTAATGTTTTACAATGTTATCAGTGTTAAACAAGTTAGCTTTAAATTTGATATGCAGAATAACCGCTTTGGAAAGATTTTTTTTTTGAGAAAAAAAATCAGGCAAATAATCTAATAATTTTCTAGAATAAGTCTACAAAAATTACTTTTCATCATGATTAAAACTAAGGAAATCAAAGCAGAAATGCAGAATACAGTTTAGAAAGGATGTGGGAGCACTTTTGTTGTTGCCCTGGACTGAGAATAAAGTGAGTTTGTGCTGCAACAATAGTGGAAGGTGTGGGCTCCCCATACACTGGCACTGGACTGAAAGCAGCAGCTTCAAGCTATGTTCAGTATGATCTAATAGCAGGATAGCAAAAGGCCAGTCCTATTTTCCTCTTCACTACAAATTCTTGCCCTGTCCTTTCTCCTGACCTTAGATATTAGGCAGAGTGAGAGCCAGCGTAGCAAACTGATCTGACAGATCCAAGATGGAAAGAGTCCAAGGTAAATGAACTTTAGGTACGAACGTCAAGAAAAACATGAAGTATGAACAAAGCCTGATAAGGATACAAGAGAGAGATGTACATTTTTACTAGAAAGAGGGCAGAAATTCTCTGGCCTCCCTTTTTAATGTGGGAAAGGCAAGAAGAAAGCTGCATTATTCACTACAAAGGAAACTTAAACTGGGATATAGGGAAAGGTTTTTATAAAACCCTGGCAATGATGACATGCTGGAAACAGCAAGCTATCTCCACCAATTAAAGATTTAAGAACAAATTAGACAAATATCTGCAGATTCAATATTTCTAGTATTCCAAAATACTCCTTAACACAAAAAAATCACAAAAGAAACTGAGCTCCAAAAGGTTTCTTCTATTACCAGCATCAATTAATAGTGCCTCAGGAGCCACTTACCTGTGATTTTTCCTGCAGCTATGGAGCCTTTTAAAAAACCATGATGCAATTACCTCTGTGGATAGAATACTACAAGACCAAAATCAAGACCTCTGTATTCTCATTCCCCTTAAGGCCACGATCACTGAAAAAAATAACATGATTATCTATCAAGCACAGCATCCCCAGCAAGAGTATGACACTGCTTCACAAAATTTTCTTACCACTTTGAAAAAAAATCAAAGAAATGGGGATGATATAGATAGTCTGTGGTAACAACCTTCAATTGCTAACAGCAAAAGATACACCTCAGAATAATTACTGTTACAGACAGAGAAATCTGGGGCACACGGTACCTCATCTAAACATTGAAATGCAGGACTTGCTGTTACATCAGTGGGTCCCTCTTCCTGGTTAGGAGCTGTTGGAGTCAGCACACAGGTAGGTGACTCATTCTCAGCTGCCAGTTCTGTGTCAGTGGGCCCTCCTTCATCAGCCTGACTCATTGTTTAAAGCTCTAGAAAGTAACAAAAATACCAATACAGTTCATTAGATCCAGGGATATGATAGTGAAAGATAAATGCATAAGTGTAAAAACCACTACATCAACATGTCAGACCCACATTCAAACCATGTAAATCACACTGCGAGCAAATTAGGTAAGTCTACAGTTATAACTTCATGAAAGACTTCATGCAAGAGGCTGCACTATCACTCTAACATCCTCTTGAGTATTTTAAAAATATCCTGAAGAAAGCTCTTATTCCAGTTAGGTAACACAGTCTTTTAATAAATGCACAGAGAGGGAAATTAAAGAAGGTTGGAACAAGCAGATTTGTTGGAAAACATAATTTTGCTATATTAGTATTATAGAAAATCCCATATTCATTTCTGTCATTTAGGAATAGAAATCTCTAAGATACTTTCATTAGAAAGAATTAGATCAAGGACATTCAGTACTCACTTCTCAGCAAGATGAGACTTAATGCCATAAAGTTTCTATATTTCACTTTGTGTTTACCATCTTGGTCCAGCACTTGAGCATTATGTTCCCAAGCTTCAATCATCAGAACTCTTTGAGGTGTGTGAAAATGCCAAGGGGGATGAGGGAAATAGGAGGTGGAATACAAGGGGATACAATACTCCTGGTACCCTGATAGACAGCAATGTCCATCAGGTTGGGCCTCATCATTACATCAAATGGGAATTTATGCTATGCCACCTTCTGGTGTCTTAACGGTTTTGTATATCCAAAGTATTTTAAAATACCTTTTGCATGAAGAAGCATGAAAGGTGACAAAAACATTTCAGAGAAAGATATGAGACATGGGATGATCCAACAGAGGCAATAAGCATCTTACAGAGGGAAGAGAGGGAAGAGGGACTTGTGAGGCACACAGAAATCTTGCCATGATATATGAGATATGAGATAGGGGAGCCACTGAACATTTGTAGAGCAAAGCACAGCTCAAAGGGGAAATGGAGTGTAGATGGAGGAATTCAAGAATATATAAATATAAGTCAAGGACAACCAAAATTAAAACTGTAATAAAATTAAGAAAAAATTTTGATACTATTTCAATAATGTATACCGGATCTTTTCAATGAAACAGACAGTGCAATTTGGCACTCCACAGCCAGAAAGCTGACTGTTAAGAAAAATATAATTTCTTTTTATAATTGTGGTGGGAAATTGATAAAAAAATGTTGCATTGTTTGTATTCCCCTTTTGAAAAGTCACTTGTCTATAAAGGTAGTGAAAGTTAAACTGGTGAGTTTATTACTTTCTTCAGTACTGTTTGGAATTCCTTCAGGAACATTTTGACTTTTAGAGAGCTTTCAGTATCTCTATTTGCTTATGGAAAAAAAAGCAATTTCAAGATCCCTCTGAGAAGTCAAAACATTGTGAAATAACTGTAAACATCATAGAGGCCAAGAAATAAAATCGGAGTTACTGTACCTAAACATGTATACACATTTATAAATAGCAAGTGATTTTTCATCTGTTAAGAACTGCTGAATATTTTAGCATATGCATTTTGTGTTTATGGCTACTGCTGCTTTATTTGTTCCTCTCAACTGAGAATTCAGACAGAGGGAAAAGCACTGTGGCAGAAACTCTAAGTGGAACAATGCCAAAATGTGAGAGTTTCATGGGTGTAGGCATATTTGTTGATACTTTTAAGTGAAACATACAGTTGACATCAATCAAAAATATATCTCCTCCCAGTACAGTAGTACAAAAGAGTCCTTACCAAGACTCCAGTTTGCTGGGCAGGGAGACAACAACAACAAAATCTTCTGAATCTGAAAAGTTTATAGTTTTATGTTAAGACACAACTACAGAAATCTGATAGAGAAAAACCATTAGACAGGCTCAGCTATTGTGACAAGCCCTCGTCTCCATGCAGTTTTAAGAGGGGGCAGACATAAACAAAGCATAAATAGGTTTATGGGACATTAAAATAAGATTAGCATTCTTCCATTTCCTACTACATTGCTAAATATATAATTCAGCTTACATAAAATTGGATCTATAAACTTCAAAAAGCAAAGTGGAAAATTTGTATCTTTGTAGTATCTGCTAAATAAACTGTCTAATTGAAATACGAATGAAAGTTGTTTTAATTTCTAACTTCACAGAATAGTCCAACAAGTATGGACGTTTTCAAACTATAGAACTGCAAATAATATCACAGCCTTGATCCAAAACACTGAATTGTAGAGAACAGAAATTACAAGGCTGTTTTGGAGCCTGAGTCAAATCAGGCTGAGAATTGTCTTGTGAAACAGCTTCAGGGCACTAATAATAAAAGTCTGAACTCGGATTCCCCAAAGTAATTTCAGCATATTTACTTCTCTCTCTCTCTCTAGAAAACAGCAATGTTCATACACAAATCAGTGCAGAATCCAGCTAGGTGACTCTTAGCTACATTGATTCTTTTCAGACTGATAGGTGCAAAAAGTAGTAAAATTTTATTCTGAACATAAAGAGATGCAGATCCATGTATGAAGATGAATCAGCTGTCTCTGCACACTTCCAGCCTACAAGTGGATGCTGGGGAGGCACAGAAGTACCCACCAGTCATGGTATGGTGATGCTTCCCTGAACCCATCTCCTTTCTCCTTGAACTCATACAAAACGTTCAGTATTGGTAAAATCCAGGGGAATGGAGATTTTCATTTTACCAAATGAATAACCAGTGCTTCTTGTTGCTTTTGAATCTGACTCCTTGATGTCACTCTAGTTCTTTTACTGGATGAGTCACTGAATAATCACAACTTTTCTATGCCACTAGGTTTATTCCTAATGCTGAATCATCACTTTACAATCCTTTTTCTAAGCTGATGCAGACAATCCACCTGCTGTCAGTGGCATGACAGCCCTTCTCTGCCTTCCACTGTCCTTATCCTCCTTCTCCAAACTTCTTCAGTTCTACCACATCCTCTTCAAAGAGAAGGGATGAGACCTATGAGACCTACAGATATTAAAAACAGGAGCACCATAGATTTATTCAATCACACAGTGATCCTCTTTCCATCCCCTAAAATTTTATTTTCTTATGCTTTTTCCCTAACGTTAAAGTAGAAGACCTTCTGTTTTAATTGGGCAGAGCCTGTGCTTCAGCATGAATGGATGTGCCATTAAACAACAAAACCATGCCAGCATTAAACAATAATTGCATTTAAAACCACATCATGTACAATAGGACATTATCACAGGCATGTAAATCAGAATGGATTGTTTGAGTAGACTGTACAACCTCACCACTTCAGGAAAATGAGAGCACACCATGTACCTAAACTGCTCAACAATTTCTGTTGTAAGTTCTGCTGTTTTCCTTTGTTTTCAAGTCTCTGCTATTTGGGATAGAACTACCCTGAGCCACACACAGACTTTATCTGCTGGAGTTCTAATTAGATATGGCTAAGATAAGGAGAATTTGAATGCTAAAATTTGTCACTTCCCATTTCATGTGGTTTCCATGAGGAACTCAATTTCCTCAGAAAATTTCTGGTAGTGTGACAAACAAACAAAAAATCCCTGAAATCCAAACCATTGCGTGCTTTGCAATGCTAAAGTACAGAGGAGGAAACAAACAAAACATAATTTGCCTACCTACTGAACCCTAGACACATGCTGAGAAATAAGAAGATTCAAGGAAGCAGTTCAGAAATGCACCACTAAAAAAAATAAATTCAAATAAAGGTGGCCCTATTTTAAGAAATAAGTTTATTTATTGTATTTATTTTTTATTTATTTTAAGAAATGAAGTCACATTATTTCCTCATTACAATTATAGCAAATGAGCAAAATTAATCCTGCTCAGGCAGACTAAGTTTATACTCTTATTATTCTGTGATAAATTCCAAATAAAAAAAATTAGAAAAATGTATTCCTTCTACAGCCTCTCCTGTGAATACTTCTTATTTCATTCCTCTTCCCTTGAAATCTCTCTCTCACCTTAGCCTGAAAGGGAAATGCTGATAATGCTTTGGCTTAAAATCTGCTTTATATCACTTTATAGAACTTCTATAAATTCTAGGGTTTTTTGATGTTTTCCATGAAATAATGAATATTCTTTGGCATACAACACCAATATCTGGTAAAATGGCAAATAAAGATTGTAATTCACTAAGAAATCATGCAGCTATCAAAAGAGGAGTTCTAATCAAATCTTCACTTATAAATTTGAGACAGCTTTCTTTTCCTGCAAATTACATGTCAGAAAATGAAAGAGGAAAGCAATTAATTAAATAAATAATTATTCTTTCACTGTTGGAGTCTGCTACATGCTATACCAGCTGACCCAACAAAAGCATGAAAGTTAAACAGAATCAATATAGCAAAAATATAGATGACATAAGTAAAACATTAAACATACGAGGTTTCATATGCATGGAGAAAGAACTTCTTCCTAGCAATTACTTTTTAGCTGTTTTGTTCAGTATTTTTAACCATATGAGTATGCTTAGACTGTATCTAATGAGAAAACCCAACAGCAACAATGAAATATAAACATAACTGAGGCTGAAGCATCTTGGAATGGTTTCTTGGACTAAGGTCTCAGCTATGCAAAGCCTGACACAATTAAAGGTGATGCAGCACAGTTTACTGCGGATTGTGGGTACTGATAAACCTCTGTCCACATGAGGAGCATCAAATACCAAAGTCCCGGGGGAAAAAGGGGCTGTGGGAAAGCAGCACTGTCGTTTTAGAGGAGGTGGGAGCCAAGGATCAGGAACAGCAGCACGGACCCAGGGAGAAGGGGGCAGCAGTGATCCCCACCTCACCAGGGACAGGATTCCCTCGAACAGTCGGATCAGAGTTATTTGCTGAACCGTCTGTCATCTAGTGGAGTTATAGCACATTGCAACACACCTCTTTAACATCTGTAACTTTCCCCCTGACAAACAATCTGACTTCTAAATTTAGTATTGGTCTCACGGGTGAGAATTTTGTAGATTTTTTTTCCCAAAATCAACTATTTCTGAAGACTTGGGGAAAAAACCTTCCAGCCTCCATCATGTCCCAAGCTTTTTCTTGATACTTTTTTGACTTTGTAGAATTCATTTTTTGTATACTAAACTATCATAAAGCAGGCTGGCCCTTTTTGCGTTTAAACTAATTATTTTTAGACTGAGTAATGTAAACCAATGAACTAATTTAACTTGAAGGGCTTTATTGGTGAATATGAATCTTCATTAAAATTTCCACAGTGAAAATTCCGATGGACCAAAAAAATAGGACAATCTTCTCTTGGACACTGAGATGTCATTTCAGATTCATAAATAATCAAAGCCAGACAGTGACAGAAATGGAAATAGAGCTAATGAGATGAAAAGTATTTGATGACTAAGTATCATGCTTGCATGGTTATTTATGAAAAAGAAACACATGGAGTGCAAAAGGGAGACAGTAATTAAGTAACAGGCCCAGATTTCATTATTTCTTGTGTTGCAATCTTGCTAAGACAATGCAGCTTTCTGTGCATTTTTCTCTCTCATTATTGGCACTAAACGACAACTGTTACAAGAATTCAGCCCCTGACTTGGCTTCAGAATTACTAAAAGCAGTGCAACACATTACATATTGACCAAAACTTACTGACAGAGAGTAATTCTGGCGCTTTGTGATATCACTTCAAAAAGCCAACAACAAATAACTGGTTTTCCAACACATCTGCCAAACTGCTTTTATACCGACTGACCGAGGACATTTCAATACACGCAGGCTCGCTGCAGGTTTAAGAGCAGTGAGGGACAGGCTGCTCCGGGGTACCTCGTCTCCTCACGCGCGACACGGCACCGCCCCGGGCCCCGCCCGGGGGTCGCTCTCCCGCGCCTCAGGGACTCCTCGGACAAGGCTGTGGCGGCGCCGCTTGCCTTGCTTCTCGCCTCGACGTCGGAGCCGCGGCTTTGCCTCTCTTGGCCTCGGTCCCAGCCCCGACCTCGGCCCCGGTCCCCTCGAGTCACCCCCGGCCGCCGCAGAGCCCAGCCCGGCCCGGCCGAGCGGCGTCCCCGTCACTATGGCGACCCGTGCACCGCCTTCCGCCCGCCTCAGCCGCCCCCGCTTCTGATTGGCTCCGAAGTCCAGCCTCACCGCCCAATAGCAGCAGACTCTCGGCAATACCCCGCCCTCCCCGCTCTCCGATAGGTCCGTGGACACGGCTGTAGTTTCTTCCGCGCTCTGCAGAACTACGACTCCCAGGAGGCTCCGCGGCGGAGCCACCGCCTGTTTACCGGCCGTGCCGGTGCCGCTCCCCGCGTGCAGCCGCGCCACGTGACCGGCCGGGGGTCACGGCCGCCCGCCAGGAGCGGCCCCGTCACGTCCGTTCCGTCCCGGGCGCTCCCGCTCCTCCGGCGGCAATGAGGGCGCTGCCCCCGCGCTGGGTGGCCCTGGCTGTGCGAGCGGCGGGCGGGTGGTGGGCACCGCCCGTGCCCCGCCGCGGTCGCAGCGGCCCCGGTCCGCCCCCGCCGCGGGAGTGGGCGCTGTCGGTGAGCCCGCGGGGGCGGCTGCGGGTGCGGGTACCGTGCCAGGTGAGCATCCGCCCGCTGGACCCGCAGCGCTGCCCGGGCGCGGACCGGCTGCTGGTGGCCGTGAGCGGCGGCAGCCCCGGGCGGGAGCGGGACCCGGTGCGGGTGGAGCACGACGAGGCGCTGGGGCAGGTGGCGATCGTGGCCGACGGCGTGGACAGCAAGACCGCCGTGGACGTCCGGACACCGGTGAAGTTCGGTGAGTGCGGGGGAGGCGCAGGGGTCGGGGGGATCCCGGCAGGGCTGGGCTGGCGCTGCTGCCTCGGCTGGGAGCCGGTGTTGGGAAACGGCCTCGCGCCCTCGCTAATTCAGAACATCCCGATTTGTTCCCTGTTCTGGACTGCCGGGGTGTTCGGGTGCGTGATTTGGTGCTGACCCTTTTGCCGGCTGTAGTTGGTGCTAACGCTTGACTGGTGAGTGAGCGGCTTCGAGCGCGCTGTCATTTGTGCTCTGGCTGCTGCTGCTCCGAAGTCTCGGCTCCGACACAGCATCCTCAGCAGGAGCTGGGCACTCCTGCTCTCCAGGGGCTGCTCAGTAGGGCTGGGGGATTCACCAGCTCCACTAGTGTTTGTTATAATCTGTGGCTATCCACAGGATCAAAAAAGCCTATAGGGAAACGGTACAGATGGAATACCAAAAAGGGCTCCCTTGTCCAGCACAAACATTGCATTATCTTTTTGGGCATAGGACTACAATCTGTGCAGGTTTTCTTGTATGGAACACAATCTGGGAGAGCAGCTGAAACCAATAAGCATCTCTGCTGAACACACAGTGAAGTTCTGACAGTGGCCCTAAGTTTAGGGAGTACAAACTCAGAGGTTTGTGTTCAGTCATTAATGTGTTTTTGGTTTTTTTCCTATGGATTTGGGCAATTTCCTATACAGTGCAGAATGTTTCACCATGTGAAAAAATCTTTTTGATGTGTTATGCACCTGGTCTCTTGTTTTGCTTAAAGATGTTGAAGACTGCTGCATTATCTCATTTAATGTCCTGCTGCAGTTGTGATATGACAAATGATCAATAATCCCACCCTACTTACTCTTCATACATGTAATCTATAACTTTTGTAGAATATCTTACATACAGCAAAGATATTCTGCAACTTTCATCTTAATTTACCTTTTTTCCTACTCTGTGTCTTAGGGAAAATTCTGCAATGTGCTTTTATTTTTTCCTGTTTCCTTTTAGAAAGACCTGAACTGGATATAATTCAAAGTGGAGACATCCAATGGGTTTGACATAACATCATTCTCACATTTTCCAGTCTTACTCATCCCTATAATTTACTTTTTTTTTTTTTTTTAAACACTACTTATAACTAAAAGGATGTTTCTTAAATATGTTTATCACATCTTAGGGTCTGTTTTGTTTCCTAGCAACTAATATATGCACAAATATTCTGTAACTCAATACAGAATATTTGTGCATATAATCTCACCCTTCCTGCCCTCTGTGTGCTTTGCTCTGTCAGAATGGCTGTACTTATTCCTACTGTGACTCCAACAGCCTACTGCCCTGTCTGTGGTCATAAACAGATGTTCAGGGAAGAGTAAGAACAGAACAAATATAAATCATATTTCATCTAAGCATTCTCTTAACTGTCAACTGTTTTCATCACAGAATTTCAGAGCCTGATACAGCTCAACCCCTCAGTGGATCTCTCTGCTGAGTGTCCCTTTTCACATGGAAACAGTTTCAGGGTGAGGGCTTCCGGGTAAACTCTTGGCAGAGTCCCACAATTTAATTTCCTGCTATTTTATCATTTGAGTATGTGGTATTCCAAGGTCCTCCTGCAATTTGTCAGTTTTTAACTAGTCTGAATAATTTGGTGTCATTGATAAAAGTTTTCAACCTTGCTATTGGTATTGATTTCCATCTTCTTGTACTGTTGAAGGTGGTGCATAACTTACAGCTGAGCGACAATATAGAACTAAAGATATTGTTACAACCATTTGGAAATCTAAGTTTGCTCTCTTAAACAGATCAGCTGTTACCTCTATATTTACTGAACTGTAGCCAGACTGTCTTCTCCAAGAGTCTTGTAGTCTTGACTCTTACCTGAAAATTTCAGTTGCTATCTTACAGCTCTTCTTTTATTTTTTTCCCGTCCCTTGCTTGCCAAGCACAAAGATTACCTTGGCTTGTCTGCAGCACATTCACAGAGTCCATCCTATAATTACTGATAGTCAAAGAAACCCGGTGTCCCGTTTATTACCCTGCAATTCTCTGGTACCAAGTGTGTCTGGATACTGTAGCTCTTTATTATTTCAGTTTCTCCAGGGTTTCTGAGTGACTATTACAAGTCACTCCAGAGCTGGTTATTCTCAAGGTGAATTCTCAAGAATTCATTGTGTTAAGATGTGATGAATTTCAGCCTTCATAAAGGGTTTCAATATGGGGAACCTTACTAAAAGTCTTGGTAATGAATTCTGATTGATGCAAAACAATCATTCGGCTTTTGTCCTGTCTTGGAGATTCTTACTATCTTCTGAATGTCAGCCAACACTGCAGACAGTCTTAGGGGCTTTCTTCTTGCCACAGGTTTTCTTTTTTTGTAGATTTCTAAGCTGTTCCACTTGGGTTTGTGGTAAGCTCATGCAATTCAGGTCCCTGGACAATCTGTGGATTATAATGTCCTTCCACAAGTTGTTCTTTGTCACCCCATAATTAGTAGGATTTTAGTATTGTTTGTGCTGTCATCCAGGTGCATCTAGAGATACATTTACAAAAATGCAAGGTTGTGGGGTTTGGGTGTTTTAAGTTTTTACTCAGTGAAGTAGAATTTTTGCTTGCCACTGAGTTTCTACTTTTAAGTGTTATTTCAGCTCTAGTTTGTTTTTTTGATCTTCTGAGCATTACTTTGTGCTTGAGTTGCTCCGTTTATTTATTTAGAAAAGAATTATCCATTAAATATCATTGCGTAAGTAAAAGATCTTACCCCTTATAAAAAGACATCTCAAACCAGAGAGGAACTGTTGTTGCTCTGCAAACATTTTGGCTTTTCTCTGGCTTTCCTTGGATGCACGAGGAAGATATTAACTCTGTTCTGCTTAGAGAGTTTTGCCTGAGCTCTACCAGTCACTTAGCTGTAAGAAGTTCAGTATTCTTGTTTGCTTCACTTTGGAAGTTAAGGCATTTCATAACAGCTTTTGCAATTTAGGTTGGAGCTTATCCAGGAAGCTGCAAGTTATCTAAAACTCCTTAGAGCCTGAATGAAGAGCATCTGTGGAAGATGCTAAGCTTAAGTATTTATTTTAAACCAAAGGCAACCTCTGGGCAGCATAGTAGGGCAAGTACCAAATGTTCCTCTGTTTGTCTTAGTGTCTAGTTTTGAGCTCTCTATAGGATTGCAATATCATACATGATCTGATAATCATCTCTGATGCATTTAACCTTCATCGATGGCAGATGTCAAGGAATTTCTGTTTAATCAAGCTTATTTATTTTTGCATGTGTTAATTAAACCTGAAACCAGCTCTCTGATTTCTGGTTACTGTCCATTGACTGCATGAGTATGCAGAAGTAAACTGAATTGAGGGCTTGCATAACCATAATTTGAGATAATTCTAGTAGTCTAGGGCTGCTGAGTCATCTGAAAAGAAATAATTATCCAGTCTATTTCAAGTGTTATAGCTTAAGGCAGCTTAATAACTGGTGTGCTTAAGTACCTACATTCTGATACCAAAGTGTTTCTTTTTTCCTATATACCTTTATTTCTGATACAAGTCTTTTACACCATGAAGATCTTCATGCATTCTTTGCGGTTTATGTGGCTAAAGTTGGCTTCAGCCCTTGTCTTTGCTAGGGAGGAATCAAACTGGCTATTTTTGGAGTTTTGGCACTGAAACAGATTGTATCTTGTTCCTCCTTGTTAAAATTTCATTGGCAATATCATCCAGCTTTCAGCCTGTTTCTTTATGGAGTTGTTTATCCTTGGTTCAGGAACTCAGAGGGAAAGAGACAGAGGGGCTCAATTCCTTGTCCACTAATTTTTGTTATGTCAAGGCTAGCAAAGTGTGTGACTGCAGAGGATCAAGGCACAAAGTGTATTTCCAGAATTCCCTGGTGTTTCTTAATGACATGTTTATGAATTTTCGGACTTCTGAATCCTCTTTTAGCACCCATCTTTGATGACAGGATTACACTACTAACTCACCTTTCAAATGATGGCAATAATATGCTCTACAGGATCAGAAGTTTTTTTATGAACCTTGTTCTTGTAAAAGTCATAGTGAGTTTGTATCATGGCTAAACTGAACACTCTCAAGCCTTTTCCTTGTCCCTTTTGACGGAAAATAAGAGCAGAAGAGTTTCAAGCTGATGGAATTCAAAGATTTATACAAGCAAACTGGCTTTTGTGACTCTCTTCTCAGAAAGCAAAATAGCAAAAGTCTTGATTGCTGACCTTCCCAAGCACAGTGTAGCTGTCCAGGGGGTGAATTGAGCAGTCTGGGCAAGACAGCTTGTTCAAAACCAACATTGCTTTCCAGTCTACCTCTTTTAGCCTTTTTTCTTAAGGAATTTGAACACAGTCTACATCGTTCACTAAATTTACCCTCTTGGTCTACTGCAGCCATAAAGTAGCAAGCTTGCTGCAAAGATGTTGTGTTTTAGCTCTGTCTCTTGGATTCTCCTAGTCTGACAGGTGACAGAACTTTCATTTCTTGGTAATTGGAGTTCTCAGTCTCTTGTCTTCATGGTCTGCCAGCTTACTGTTGTCATAGTTTCAGGAAGCACCTGCCCTGGGCAGCAGTGTGCCAGTATTGATCTGCAGGCTCTGCTGGGTCAGGGGTCTGACTTGGGAATCTCCTGGGGCAAAGCTTGGTGTGCACATTCTGATTATTCTTTTCATCTTTTTGATAACCTTTGCAGGCAGTGGCAGTGAAAGGGAGACTTTCACATTTGCTTAAATGAAGGTTTCTTTACCAAATAATCTCCTTTCCTTTAGGGAGTAATGGGGCTCACTGTCTTAGTCCTTCTGTTGTGTCTTGCAGCAAACACTTCTGATTGCTCTTCTGTTTTTCTTATTTTTGCCTTTTATCCTTAGAAGAACAAAATGACTTTTTTTCCTCTCCTGCAAGTCACCTTTTACAAGTCACTATGGTGGTCATTTATACAAATAATGACTAGAAATTATTATTAATTCAGACAGAATCCCCAGACTGTACATTCTCAAACTTATTCCCATTCCTTAAATGC